GCTGCACCTGTTAAGAGCAGATGTCAGTGTTGCGTCTTTATCTGGTCACCTTAGGTAAAAGAGCTTTTATTAACTCCAGCTCCTGGAAAACGCACCTAATGCTGAACTTGTGCTTTCTCCCCTGCAGGTGTTTCTTCTCTCCTGTGAAGAGTCTGCCGCCTTGTAGGGAAGAGAGGAGCCTGGTGTAGAGCCCTGCTGCCTGCGGGGAGCGGAAGGACAGACAGAGGATGAGCTGGAGGGAACATACTGACCAGACAGGTGTCTTCTAGTGGTAATTCATTTCTGGACAAGTAGGGAAGGAAAGGAGTGGTTGGACGTGTGGGAACTTGAAGTTTAGATAGTGCTGGATTTATTACGGAGAAATAAATTAGTTTATTTGGACCTATCACTTGTGCATGCTCTTTATTTAATTCTAAAGCTAAAATAAAGCTACCAAAACGCTAAAAGTATCAGCCACTTAAGGGACAAGGTATAATTGCATATTTCCTGCAGTCAGGAGGTACAACCTAGTAAGGACTATGCCTGCATGACTTGGCAAAAGCAGATCCGCCACTGAGCTGAGGCTGGATTGGCTGCCCTCCAGGCAGAGGAGGGGCTGGAGAGAGGTAACCTGAGATCTGTCCTACAGTATTTTCAGTAACAAATTATTTTTGTTTGTCCTCTTCCTGAAGAGCTGTTCTGACCCTGGAGCTAAGAAAATATGACCTGTCTGGCTGTGTGACTTGGATACAGTTGGCTGATCTTACTTAAAAGCCTTAGCGAGTTATGCAATGTTCTGAAGGTCACCAGCATCAGGTTATGTTCAGAGCTGCTTGCTTCTTACAATCGCTATGGCAGGGTAGTCTCACTTGTGCTGTCTGCAGCCTGGCCTCCAGCAGGAGACCCTGCTCCTCATGTTGGTGTGAAGGAGAATTTTAAGGCTTCAGCTGGAGTTCTAACAGAGCAGTGAAACCATGACACTTTCAGATGCTTAACTGCTGAACTCTCGTGGCAGAATTAATCTGTTGACTACTAATCTTTGCCTGTTGAACACTGGGTGAATTCTCAGCCCCTTGCCTGGATCTATGCAAAAATCCAGGTCTAGATGCTAAAAGCTGGCAGCAGATACTGGAGGCTGGTGTTGAAAGTCCTGCCTTTTCTAAATGTCAAAACCTGAGTTCTGGCTGGTAGATAAGGCCAGGCACAGCTCTTATCTGGGGTGCCTTGTGCTCTCCTGAGATACTGCCAAGGGAAACAGTAGATGCTGGAGACTCAAGGGCCGAGTGTTCTGTGTGCTGAACTGCCCCAGTGTGAGCAGGGAGGAACTGCTGTAATGAAGTTGTTTTAACCAACTCCCTTTAAGAAATAGATACTAGACTGGTGTTGGTGTGTGCTGGTCTGGGTGGAGAACCATCAGGAGCACCTGCAGCAGGTGTGTACTGTCTTCTGACCCATCTTGGTGAAGTGCTAGCAATGCTGCTTCTGGACTTGTGGAGACTCTGGATGTGTCTTGAACAGCCTTTCCTGGTGACTGCAGGGGGAAGTCTCTAGAAGGCCGCTGCCAGCATGATGATGGTGTTGAAGGCAGTGGTGCAGGTGGGTTGAAAAGAGGTGCAGGTTCTTGTCACTTGGAAGTGCAGGCCATGCCATAGGAACATGAGTGACCCCTTGAAGCAGGAGGCTGCTTCTTGTGTCTGGCTGTGGTGCTGTGCTTGTGTGGTTCGTCAGGGTGCAGCTTTGGATGTGGTAGTGTGAAACCTCTAAGAGGGGCAGGGGGATCCCGGGAAAAGGAGCTCAGTAGCAGAAAACTCCTGAGCCCTAGTGGTGGCCACACTGTTTGTGACCAGTAACGGGCCTGTTCCTTGTTTAGGGATGCCCTTGAGCTCTGAGCTCTTCTTGTTCTGTGAGGTGGGCCCAGGCCTGGCTTGGGTGCTGGTGAGGGGCTGAGCCCTCCTCTGCAAGGAGCCCCTCCTCCACTGGTTGCATCTGGGTGTTTACCGAGACCTTCTGGAGCTGATCCGTGGAGTGATCCCCTCCAGAGTTGGGTGTTTTTCTTCTCTGTTCAGTTGCCTCTTGGTGTGTTGAGTGAGGCTATGCCAACCTGTGAGCCTGGGAGAGAGACTTCTGGGTCCCCTGATCTCTCCTGTTGTCCTTCCCTCCTTGTTTGTTCTGAGGAAATGTCCTCTCTTTGCTTCGGACCCCTCCAAGCTGGGGGTGCTTGTGCCTGTTGTGGGGTAGGAGGGCAGCAGGTGCCTGCTATCACTCTGACTAGGAGGGCTTCTGCAAACCAGCTCTGGCCTCTGCTTGTCTCTTCTCTTGCTGCCTGATTTCACTTGCTGCCCACAGCCATAACCAGTCCTGAAGCTCAGTGTTGTGAGGGCACGTAGTGTGATGCAGAGGACAGTCCTGCGGATAACATACAAGGGCTGGGTGGGGAGAGAAGTCACGCCAGCACCCCTGGCTCCTCTATGGAGGTGAGGTGGGTGCCTGGCTCTTACCTGCTAGGCCAGGGTAGTGTTTTGCCAGGTTCTCTAGTAAGGATTCATAGTAGGTGGCTTCAGAGCTTCCTTCTCTTGCCAGCAGAATGGGAGAAATGGTTTAATCTCTCTCCTGGCTGAAAACCAAAGTCAAGACTTGTGACTGGGGCGGGTGGCTCTGCCCAGGAAAGGTTCCTCCTCCCTCAGTGCAGCCACTTCAGACAACACAAGCTTCAGCTCTGGCTTCTGCCTCCTCAGAGCTACTGTACCATGTCCAAGTGACTGCTCAGTAGAGCCCCTCTCCAAAGCTGTGTGTTGTATACAGGAGGTGACAGGTTTTCCTGGTGTGTGGGACAGTTACTTGAAATGGTGTGTGACGCCCCCCCCCGAGCAGACCCTTCCTGATGCAGAGGCTGAACTGTGCTGTCTCACCAAGGAACGTATGGACAACTCTGATGTAGCACTCCCTTTCCTGTAGGTACTTACTGGTGAATTCAGATGCAGGATTTTCCACTTTGCTCAGGTTCATCAGGGTGCCTGTTTAATCCAGAAGATTGATGCAGTCCGGAGGGAGAGAAAAAGTGGTGAACAGTCTCATGTGCCCTTGTGGGGTTTAGAGGTATTTGCTTTGGCAGGTTATGCTTCCAAGAGAATCTGTTGAGGTCTAGAGGGGAGGAGGTTTGCTGCCCCTTTCCTTCTGTTTTAGGGATGATCTGGGATTCCCATGCAGCCTGTCTGTTACCCTCTGCTGCTTAGCTACTGGTGAGTGCTGGTCCCTCTGATGACCGCTGCTGAGGGGCACTTGTACCTTCAGGCGTGCACTGACAGTTCCTCTTCAGGTGAGCCATGAGGATCAGGACATGGCACTGCAGGTTCACCTTCTCTTGGCAGTTGGCTGCAGACAGGGAATGAGACCTGAGATATGAGTGTGGTCACCTTGAACCCAGGGGCCTTGTGGCCATGGCAGGAGGCACAGTGGGTAGCCAAGAAGTGCCCTCTGTCATGGCCAGCAAAGGCAGGATCCCAACATGGCCATCAGCAGGGCTTTGAGCTGCCATGTTACAGTGCTGGGAATTCTCTGGTTTAGGAGTGGGGATGAACATTTTGATTTGGGGAAAGTGATTCCAATTCACAAATGTCTCTGTCCTTCAACTTTGTTTCATCAAATATGAGTACATAAAAGCAGTGAGCCCTGGCCCTTGCTGGTCCCCTTCCACAAGCTTGTCGCAGTCACAAGGGGAGAGAGCTGGAGATCACAGCTGAGTCACCAGGGGATGTTTTGGCCATGAACTCTCACTGAGTTTATCACAATTGAGAAATCCCCAGGACTGGCACATGTCTGTAGGCAGAGCTGGGCATCCAGCTCAAATAGCAGAGGGAGCAAAGACTCAGGGCCATGTGCATCTGATGGCTTCAGCTGCAATTGTCTGGGGTCAGGCAAAGGCTCTTGGCCAAATGGGCAAGGTCAGGACAGGGTTTGCTCATTCCCTCCCACCAGCTGCAGATATCTGCCCTCTGAAGCTGAGGGCCAGGATCTGAGCCAGAGAACCCTTCCCACACAGCCAGGAGCTCTGCTGGCAGCTGTCACTTCTGCCCCATGACTCTTCTGGTTGTGTCTAGGTAAGCAGAGTCCCCTCCAGTGATTCCCCAGAGCTGCAAGGCTGGGAACTCATCCTTGCCTCTGGCCTCCCTCCCTGCAATTAACTTAGCTCTAATGGGGTGTTTTTCCTCTGTAATTCCTTGTGTAGGGGTTAAAGATCTCTTCTTTTTTTTAAGACAGATGAGGCAAAGGATGCTGCTGTGCCCTGGCAGAGCCCTTCTGCCCTGTTCCCTAACCACTGGGCATTGCTGTGCATCAAGGTGCCAGGTCCCTCCCTGCCCCTCATGAGGCCACCACTTCCTGTTGAAGATGGCCCAGGTGACCAGCTGGCCCCAGAACGGAGGCAAAGCCGGTGCTTTCACCTTGTACCTCTGTGTGTCACTGTCACAAACATGGCACTCTGTTCCCAGAGCTGCTCCCCGCCTGTGATGTGGGAGCTGCTCATGGTGGGTGCTGTCCTGCAGGCAGTGAGGATGACAAAATGTCCGGTGGTGATGGTGTTAGCTGCTGGAGAGCCCACAGGAGAGGCTGCATTTCCAGCTGATGCTATTGTGGTTTCAGCAGCCAGATTGCCCAGCAATGGGGAATGGCCCCTGCAGATTCCTGAGCCTCCTGCTGCGGGGGAGTGGGAGAGGGGGGATAGAGCATGACTGGGCTAAACAACAGCCTGTTGGGAAGGCTGCCTGCTCTGGGTGGTCCCAGACTTTTTGCAGTCCTGTGGTGTGTCCTGCAGCTCGTCTGGGCTGTGATGGTGCCACATCTGCCCACGTGGTTCCTAGCTGAGCCCAGTGCTGCTGCAAGGGCAGCTGCAGCCTCCTCTGTGAGATGGTCAGATGCCACTGGAAAAACCTTCCTCAGGACCCTGCTGGCTCCAGTCCTGCTCTGGAGGATGAGGCAGTGGGATTTCACAGCTCAGGAGGGGCTGTGGGCAGTTGCTGGGACAGCAGCTGTAACTGTGCTGCAGCACAGGAGGAAGCCATAGGGCTTCGCAGGAAATGTGGGATGGTGCAGCAGAAAGTCCTGGTCCAAGTTTTGCCCTGGCCTGATGGGGGCTGCTGTGCTTGGGCAGTGACATGTCAATCTGGGGTAAAACCCGCTTTGTTTTCGGTGAGTCCCTTCTGTTCACTGAGCACCTCTCGCACCTCATGCGGGGGGAACAAAGCTGCCAGAACCCGGTGAGCACAGTACCTGCTCTTGTACTTGGCACAGGCAAGTACTTCCTGCACCCCTGGGCTGTCGAAATGATGTGCATGTCTTATGCACCAGCTGCATCTTCCATTTAGTGCCCAAATGTTGCTGTACAAGTGATTCTGCAGCAATGCTCAGGGGACCTTGTAGCATCATCCCCTTACAGATGAAATCATGTCTCTGAGCTGGTCAGCAGATGTTACTTGTTCCCACCACGCAGGTCCTCCACAACGCTGATGTACTGCATACCCAGTGCTCGCTGCTCTGTGGACAAATTCCCTTGCTCCAAAATGCCCCTCCTTGCACAAGGAGGTGATTTCCTTCTGCTTTGGTGGGTCTTTGTTTCACAGTCTCTGTCTAATCCATGGACTTAATGTGTCTCAGGCTTGATGACAGGGTGTATGTGTGACCCTCCTCACTTAGGGGGCACATGCAGAGTGACTTGCATTCACCTTGCCACCACCTTACAGAGTTTGGGGAGTGCTGGTGGGCAACAGCTGGAGCTGTGTCTGCAGCCTGTACCTGCTCAGGCTCAGGGGCCTGACTGCATGAAACACAAGCTGCTGATACGCTGCAATGGTGGGGCTTCACGAGGCTGGAAGATGTCAAGGCAAAGCCCCAGCCTTGAATGGCCTTTGGAGCTGCTGCTGCGTGCTGTAGGCTGGCTCTAATAAATCTGATACAGCAGGTTTGCCTGGATGGGCACAAGTGGGACACAGCCAGACTTTACCGCATGTGCAGGGACTGCTGTGTGCCACCTATACACTCCCCATCGCCCTGGCAGGTGTAACAGCCCTCACTGCCCTCCTGTACCACAGCAGCCCCTGCAGCCCAGCTGTGCAAGGTGCTGCATAGTCCCATCAGGTCTAACTGGCACCTCACTACTTCATGGTGTTGCAGATGTGGACCCTGCACCTGTGTTATAGCTGCTCTGATTGCCCAGTCACCCCTTTCACTCATTTTCCCCTCACTGCTCCCCAGGGAGGCTGTGTCACAGTACATCGGGCAGGGTTGTGGGGGGTTATTGCTTTTGTTAGACCAACTGATAGAGAATGCGGAAAAAATAAGACGAACCGTTGGGCATACTAGCCCTTGTTCAGAGCACCGAAGTGTGGCACAGCAAAGCACGTGTCCAGCTTGCAGCATTGAATCTTGAGATGATGGTGGTGCTTCCTCTTCAGGATCTGCGTGTGCCAGAGACACGGTGTGGGGTGTTCTAACGAGGCAGGGCTCTGTCTCACAGCTCCCTTTTCCCTCAAACCTAGAGTGCACATGAGCCAGTCACATCAGGAACCATTTGCAAACATCTTTGGCAAAGGGACACCTTGGGAGGAGGGCTGGGTGCTGCAGACAGGAGGGAAAGGGCCATCCCTGGATGGTGATGTGGTGGCATTGAGGGGGCTGAGGCTGCCTGTGGAGGGCAGGAGGCGCCCATCGGTTATGGGATGCTGCGAAGCGCCTGCCCACCACCCTGCTGTGAAGGGCTGCCATGGGCTGGAGGGTGCGGAGATGTGTGGGGAGAAGGCCGGCCCTTGGCTGCGGCTGGCTGCGTAATGTAGCACCTCTGGGCTCTGCGAGGGGTGGTACGAGCAGGAGGAGCTTTACACCTGGTGAGTCCGGCAGCCTTTTGCTGTAACAGTCTGCTGTCTTTCCGCACAAGGCACCAGCTGTGCCGCAGCCGTGTCTCGCTGCATCGGCCCCCTTGGGAAATGCCTTCTGGCAGGTGACTTCGGCAGCCACCCCGCATGTTTGCCCATGGCAATGGAGCTGCAACGGAGCTGCATGGAGAAGGGAGCAGCAACTTTCCTTATGTTACTTCTGCAATGAGACAGCTGCCGGAGGCTCCGGCATGTGCTGTCGTTCATTCTCTCTGGTGGCAGCAGAGTCAGCCAGCCTCCAAGCCAGCTACCGCAGAGCATCCTTGGCATGATGGGGCTCAGGATCCTGGCCTCTTGCACTCCTGGTGGCAGAGGGCCCGAGGCAAAAGGCCTGAGTGTAAGACCACAGGGGAACCTCTCTGCTCCCCCATCAGAGAGGAGAGATGGTCAGTGATGCCTCCCCACTGTACCCCAGTGCCTGGGGCAGAGGGTGGTGGGGTGGGCTGCGCCTGCATCAGCGCACCTGGAGGAAGCAGCCTGGGGCAAAGGTGGGCGGTGGGTTACAATGCTCAGCTCTCACCCCACTGCTTCAAGCCCCCTCCCTGAAGCCCAGCTGCAGCAGGGTGAGCAACGCGAGAGCTGGAGTCCCCAGGCCCCGTGTGTTATTTACATACACCTCGCCAGTGCCAGCGTCACAGCAACCTGGGTTCGTGTAGCACCGCGACCCTCTCTGAAACAACCTCCCTTCCTCTGCTTCCTGCCATGGCCCTGGCCTTCACCATTCTGCTCCTGGCGGGGACAGTGGGGACAGGTAAGGGTGGTGGGGCTGAGCTAGCTGCTGTCTGGGGCACTGCAGGGTGGCGGGCAGGACTGGGCTGTGCAGGGGCGATGTTAGTCTGAGTAGGATGGTTTTGCTCCTGGGCTGTGTGGTGTGATGAGCAGGACGGAGGTTGGGTAACAGAGTTGCCTCAAGGGGGAAGGGGGACATTTTGGGGCTGGGGGAAATGAGGGACATGGCTCAGCCAGTCAGTAACCGCATCCTTGGTGTGTGCAGCTTCCAGGGCTCAGCCCGTGCTGACCCAGCCATCTTCTGTGTTGGTGCTGCCTGGGCAGGCTGCTCGGCTGTCCTGCACCCTGAGCCCCCCATACAATATCACCAAGTTTGGCATCTCCTGGTACCAGCAACGCCCGGGGCACAGCCTGAGGTATCTGCTCTATTACAACTCTGAGCAAGACAAGCACAAGCCTGCCAACATTTCTGACCGCTTCTCTGCTACCAAAGACCTCCCCAGCAACGCCTGCATCCTCATCATC